GAGGCCTTAGGGCTGGTGGGGGCCCGGGGCTGGGCAGGCGGGTGAGGCTGGAGCGGGGCCTTCTGTGCCGCTGCAGGTGCCAGAGGACTTCATCTCTCGGGAGCTCTTTGACACCATCCAGGTGTATGTCATCACGAAGCCCGAGCTGCAGAACAAGCTGATCACCGTGTGAGTGTTGGCAAGTGTTTCCCTTCTCTGTGGGGTCCACCGTCCTCACCACAATTGGGCAGGTCTCCACCAGCAGATGACAGCTTGGTGATGTGACAGTGCCGGCTCACAGCTCTGGGTCATGGGGATTTCTGTCCCAGTGGTCGGCAGGTTCATTACGACGTCCGCAGTTACCCATGCAGGAGGGTTGGGTACCTGATTCTGGGGGTGGCTGGTGCTGCATGTGGTTCTCTGCCAGCTTCAAATCCATGAAATTCAAATGAGTCTTGAGGGCTGTGCTGGTTTTGAAAGGAGACGGTTTTCTTCTCTGATACTTGACGTTTTTTCCCCTCCTTCTTTCAGACTGTCCTTTTTGCACTCTGAGCATTTGGGGATTAGACATCATTTTTCCTGCAAAGCAGAGAAGCCCCCACCTTCAGAGCCAACTGGGAACAAGCCTTGTGCGGGGCTCAGGCCTCCTTAAGAGCACAGGTGCAGGTTATACTTGTCTCCCCACAGGACAGCCATGGAGAAGAAGCTGATTGGCTGCCCTGTCTGTATAGAGCACAAGAAGTACAGCCGAAACGCTCTGCTCTTCAACCTGGGCTTCGTGTGCGATGCCAGAGCCAAGGCCTGTGCGCTGGAGCCCATAGTGAAGAAGCTGGCTGGCTACCTCACCACCCTCGAGGTGAGGCACAAGCCAATGCGAGCAGAGGCTGCCTGCCTCACGATCCGCCCCACAGAGTTACCAGTGTGCTGGCACACGGTGTAGGTCACTGGGCATTGCTGGGGTAGGGGCCAGGTTTATAGCAAGGAGGGGATTGTGCTGATTTCACTTAAGTTTTAGGGAGGGCGGGAGCAGAGACTTGTGGTACCTCTAGCCAGTAATCCTGTGGGGAGGAACTGACTCAATTTCCTGCTCTCTTTAGCTGGAAAGCGGCTTCATTTCCAATGAGGAGAGTAAACAGAAGCTGGTTCCCATCATGACCATCCTGCTGGAGGAGCTGAACGCCAAAGGAAAGTGCACCCTGCCCATAGGTATGGCAGCCGCGCTGTCCCCAGCCTGGCAGTGAGGGCAGGAGTGGGACAGGGCGGTGCTGGGAGGCAGCTGGGCCATCGTCTGCTCAGGTCGCTCTGCCTACGCTGCTCCTGTCTACGCTTGGAGCCAGAGGGCAGCCACGCCGGCCTTGCCCTGGGTGGCTCAAAGGGCTGGGAGGGATATGGTTATGGCCTGCAAACACCTTCCTCCGCGTGGCATGGTGGTGTCCTGGGGCTGATGGTCACAAGCTCCGGAGGGATCAGAGGTCTCTGTGGGACCTGAGCGCTCCCCCTTCCCTGGACAGATGAGTCAAACACCATCCACCTGAAGGTGATCGAGCAGCGCCCGGATCCCCCCATCGTGCAGGAGTACGACGTCCCTGTCTTCACCCAAGACAAGGATGACTTCAACTCCCAGTGGGATCTCACCACGCAGCAGGTCTGTGTGCTTGACTGGGGCAGTAAGCTTTGAATGGGATTTGTTTCCAGCCTGCCAGGGGACAGAGGGGAGTCAGGCTGTCCGGAGATCACCACGTTAATGATCACGGTTTGATGCTCCTCTTGTCTTTGTGCTTGGGCCAGTGAGCAACCCATTCACCCAACACAGGGATAAAATGCTGCTGGGGTTGGATCCTGCCTGTCCCAGTGTGCTCCCAGACACAGGGGAGTTTCTTGAGCTTCGGGGTGATGCCTTGGACCTCTCTGCTGTCTCCCCTCTTAGCTCTGTCCTCCCATCCTAGATCCTGCCCTACATCGATGGCTTTCGTCATGTCCAGAAGATTTCTGCAGAAGCCGACGTGGAGCTGAACTTGGTGCGCATTGCCGTGCAAAACCTGCTGTGAGTGTGTGGAAGGGGGCCTGGCCAGCCCACCGGAGGGGTGGTGAGCGCTGGCAGAGAGCGTCTCTCACGTTTCGCTGTCCCTCTGCAGGTACTACGGGGTCGTCACGCTCGTCTCCATACTCCAGGTAGGTCATGCCACAGAGCGTGGGGCCACGAGTGGGATCTGTGGGTGGCCCTGTAGTGGGGACAACAGGGTTCGGAGCGGGGCAGGTCTGTCTCAGAGCCATGGCTGAGCAGAGCTGCTGTTCCCTTGCCCTCCAGTACTCCAACGTCTACTGCACCACGCCAAAGGTGCAGGACCTGGTGGATGACAAGTGCCTCCAGGAAGAGTGTCTGTCCTACGTCACCAAACAAGGTACAATGACCCTGCGCTGGGCTGCTGGCGGAGGCAGGGGGAGAGGGCGGCTGACTGGTGACTTGTCCCCGCAGGACACAAGCGAGCCAGCCTCAGGGACGTCTTCCAGCTGTACTGCGGGCTGAGCCCTGGCACAACGGTGCGAGACCTCATCTCCCGCTACACCCTGCAGCTTCAGAGAGTGGACGAGAGGTCAGAGCCAGCACCCTCCTGCTCTGTCCCCAAGGGCAGCGGTGACACCGGGGGTGGCGGGAGTGAGTGTGGGGTAATGAGGAGGGAATACCCAATCCCTGCAGATGAGGAAACTGAGGCAGTTGTGTGGTATGGTGGAGCCAGAAGGGAATGGGGGGAGCTGGGGTGTTTGGGACCTCAGCATCGTGGTCCCTGTCTCTTCCCTCCTCGTCTCCAGGAGGCTCATCCAGTTTGGCTTGATGAAGGGCCTTATCCGTCGGCTCCAGAAATACCCTGTCAAGGTTACCCGGGATGAGCGGAGCCACCCAGCCCGGCTGTACACGGGCTGCCACAGCTACGATGAGATCTGCTGCAAGACTGGTGAGGATCCGGGCTCCTCCGTGCAGCTCTTGGGGCCGGTGGAGGCAGGACCCTGTGTGCCCAGGGTCGCAGGCTGGTTTTGGGGTCTCCCTTGCCCCTTTGGGAGCCTTCAAACCGCAGGGAGACGGGACTCTGTGCTGGGCTCTGTGCTGAACTGGGCTGCCAAGCCCGGGCAGCCAGGGAGAGGAGTTGGGGGACACAGCCAGCGCCCCA